GCCGTCATGGTGTCCCAGAGTTGCTGGGTTCTGCTGCTCCTCTGCACCGCTGCTGGGTTTTTCGGGTGGCTGGGCCTCAGCACCCCCCTAGAAGAACCGGGGACCCCCCCGCAGGTGAGGACCCCCCTATGCATCCCCTTTGAGATGGCCACAGGTGATAAGCAGCTCCAGGCTGAAGCCATGTGCTGGGAGCTGTCACCCCTGGACTCCTGTCACCATCAGGTGTGGTGGTGGGTTTTGTGTCCCTCCCCAGGCTGGGAAATGGGGGTCCCAGTGACCCCCCACCCTGGGCAGCCACTTTGCCAGCTATGGGGTGCCCTGTGTCCATGCAGGATGTTTTTGGGGTGAGTTCACACTCTTCTCCTTAATTTCCCACCCCCCTGTGCCCTCAACCTAGCTGTGCTGGCAGCACCCATGGGTGCTGAGTCGCCACCAACACCAGCGCTGCTGCCAGGTAGTGGCGCAGCTCCACTCATCCCATGGTGATCTGAGTGAGGAGGAGAAGGTGGCCAAGCTGGGGGTGGACCTATTCAACTGCCAGGCCAACGCTGAGGGTCACTGTATGTACCCCTGCACCCTGGAGCTGGTAAGGTGCCTGGGTAGAGCACCCCAAATCTCATTTTCTCCAGTTCCACCCCAAATCTTACGGTAATCCAATGTAATTCATAGAATGGTTTGCATTGGAAGGGACCTTAAGGGCCATCTAGTCCAACCCCCCTGCCCTGGGCAGGGACACCTCCCACCAGCCCAGGTTGCTCCAAGCCCCGTCCAACCTGGCCTTGAACCCCTCCAGGGATGAGGCAGCCACAGCTTCTCTGGGCAACCTGGGTTGGGAGCTTACCATCCTCACAATCAAGAATTTCTTCCTAAGATCTCATCTAAATCTCCCCTCTTTCTGTATCAAACTGTTCCCCCTCATCCCATCTCACCCCTCCCTGATCAAGTCCCTCCCCAGCTCTTCTGGAGCCCCTTTAGGCACTGGAAGGGGTTCTAAGGTCTCCCCGGAGCCTTCTCTTCTCCAGGCTGAACCCCCCCCAACTCTCCCAGCCTGTCCTCCCAGCAGAGGGGCTCCAGCCCTCCCAGCATCTCGGTGGCCTCCTCTGGCCCCGCTCCACCAGGTCCGTGTCCTGTTCCCCCCTCCCAGCATCCCAAACCTTGTAGCTGCAAAGCCTGAGCTGCATCCAACCACCTCTGCTCAGCCTCTCATCCTCACTTTGGGGCAAACCCAGCCCTGTTTAGCCCACTTTCCCCCATGAAAATGGGGGTTTCCCACCCCCAGCCTTGCTCGCTGCCGAAGGCTTTTCCGAAGTCTCTTTCCGCAGCACCGTGGGATGGAGATTAAACACTGGGGGCTCATTTTGGGATGCTGAGGGGGTGTCCATGGGGAGATCCAGCATCCACCTGGTACGTGGTGGTGGGCACAGCCATAGGGTGATGGTTTGTTGGGGGCTGTGGGGTCACCACTCAAATATCCTCTGCAGGAGCAGCCGACGGGGTGGCTGCGGCCAAGACTGGAGATGTCCATCCACCGCAGCCTGCAGCAGCCGGTGCTGGATGAGACCCTCATTGCCAGCGGGCAGCACCGGGTGGCCCAGCCCATGGAGGACATCACCCAGCAGATGGGTAAGAGCCCCTGGCTGGGATGCTGCGACATCCCTGTGTCCCACCTTGGAAACCGACCCAACTTCTTGTGCCTCCCTACAGGGAATGTGAGCAGCCAGGGGGCCACAGGGCTCCGGGAAGGGCACCGGCTTGTCCTGTCCGACCTCCACCATGAGCAGGAAAGAGCTCAGGATATCTATTCCCAACTAGGTGAGAACGTAGCAAACCCCATTCCCAGCGTCTTTTGTATCAGAACATCCCTGGGTACAGCTTCCCCAGCTCATCCCAACACCATATCCATCTCCTCCATGTGCAGAGAGTGACTTGGCCCTTCTTCTGGCCCAGCAGCGCCGAATGGAGGAGGTCATGGAGAAGCTCCAGCGAGTCAACCAGAGCCTGGGGCTGATGCTGGCGGCTGTGGAGGGTGCACAGAACCAGCTGGAGAACCATCTGGAGAACCTCCACCCAGCCGGTGAGCTGGGGGTGGGTGCTGGAGGGCAGATGGGTGCTGGTAGGTGCCAACACCGAGCTCTTGCTCCCTGTCCCACAGGTCAGAGCCCAAGTGCCATCTCCACCTTCATCCTACATGGCTCCTACTTTGCGTTGCTGGTTGCGCTACTGGTGCCCATGCCACCCCGTGCCATCCTCCTCCTCCTTGCCTTCGGTGTCCTCGGCGAGCTCCTTGGCATCCCGGCACTCTCCACTCTCCTGGTCCTTGCCATGGCAGGTGGGGATGATGTGTGGGGGGATGTGGTTGGGGACATGCCACCCTGGGGGTGCTACAGGGGGGTGGGCTGGGAGTGCTCTGCCCTCTCCCACCCTCTCCCTTCCCAGCAGGGCAGCTGCTGGTGGTAGCCACCCGCTATGGTGCTGGGGGGGCCTGGCTGGTGCTTCCACAGGAGGAGCCCCATCACCAGCTCACCTCCACCCCAGACAGGTAGGAGATGGTTGGGGAAGGAATGGCATGGGCATGGCACCTTTGGGAGCTGCGAGGACCCATCCTGGATGTCCCATCCTGCTGCCATCTGGCAGAGGTTCCCAGGGTGGGTGGGCTGCTGATCTCCAGGAGGTGGGGGGGTAGGATGCATCTTGATGGCTTGCCTGCAGCTTTTGGAGACCTCATGCCAGCTCCCTGCCTGGGGGAGGGTGGAGAGGGGCTGCCATCATGATGGTGACGCGGAAGCCACCAAGGTGATGAAGTTCTGGTTTTCCTTTCCACATAGGGAGTGCAGAATGGGGCTGTTGCAGGAGGAACTGGACAAGATGGAGATGAGTTCTCTGCAAGGTGAGAGCTGGCTGGGCAGGGGGACGTGGGAGAGGTGACCATGAGGTGTGGTGGCTGCAGGACAGGGGGCTGCAGCCCCCAGCATGTCCCCATCCTGTGCTGGGGCACGGGCACCACTCCAGGGTGTCCCCATCTTCCACCTGGGGTCAGCAGCACTGGCAGTGTGTCACCACCCATGCCATGTTCCCGCAGAGCCCTCATACCTGGAGCAGCCCCCAGCGATGGCAGGGGACACCCCTTGCTTAGCAGGACATGTGTCACCTGTCCCCAGCAGCTGGAGGACAAAGCTGAGCTCGTGTGGGGTAAGCCTGAGCTGGGGGTAGGTGCTGGGTGGGATGTCCCCAGGCTGGGCCAGATCCTGCTCTTGAGGGGCCAGCTGGGTCCCCCTGAGGCTCAGAGCCTCCAGGGCTGGAGCATCCTCATTGTCACGGTGCTCCTGGGTGCTAGACACCCTGTTGGGAGAGCGGCCAGAGCTGGTCCTGCAGATCTTGTTGGGGACATGACACCCAAGGGGAGGACTTTTGGGTGGGAGGGCTGTCCTCCAAAGATGGATGGCCAAGGCACCCATCCTGTATGACCCACATGTCCCCAAGGAACAAGGGGCATCTCCTGCAGGCCAGGAGGGTCACCAAGGGATGGAAGATGCTCTGTCTAAACCTCTTCTTCCCCAACCAGGTGATGCAGGAGCCACCTATGGGTGCTGGGAAGCGCTGGGAGCCCAAACCCTGCAGCCCAAGCCAGTCTCTGGCCAGCGACACGTAAGTACCAACCATAGAGAACATCCCTCCTCCAGGGAAACGTTTGGGCTGGTGTCACCTCAGGGTGCAGCCAGTGATCTGACAGTGTGGGGGACAACTCTGCTGGGGGCTTCTTGGGGTGCTGATGGGGTCTCTCCTCCGTAGGTCCTCGCTGTCCCCACGGCTCCTGTGTCAGGGGCTCACCAGGGCCAGACGGCGGTGCCGGAAGAAAGCCATCCCCGGGCAGGACTTCTGCCATGTCCACGCTACCGGTCAAACCTCCTGCAGCGGCTTGGCCGTGGACTCATCCCCCCATATCTGACCCTCTACCTCCTCTCAGAGGGGTTTTAAACCTTCTTTTGGCTCTTGCAGATCCTGGTGGAGAACACATAGCGGTGCTCAGGACACTACGGGCGCCATTTGATGTGGGTAGGGGACGGTGCTGTGGGGCAGATGCTCCTCATCCCACCAGTTTTATGCTATTTATGTATAATTTAATAAATGCCGTATTTACAGCTGGAGCCTTCCCCATTCTGGTCCCCCCCCCGCCCCATCTTGATGCTGGGGCTTTCCTGGGGGCTTTGGGACCATCCCCATGCGCCGAAAGCAACAGCAAATGTCCGGCTGTTATTCCTGTGCCGGAGTAACCCTGATCACCTTCCCTTTATTACAGCCTAATTACAGGTAATTAGTAGTGTAGCCTATTACAGCTGCTTGCATGTGGCCAAGGCGGCGGCGGTGGTGGTGGCTCCCAACTGGTCTGGTGTCCCAGAACCTTTGGGGTGCCCCAATTTTCCTTCCCACCCAGCCCTGGGTGTCCTGCACCGCTCCCAGTAGCAGGCAGGAACGTCGGGGCTGCTCACTGGGCTCTTGTCCCCCTTTTACTTTGGAAATCTGTCACTCCCCCTGCCCCGTCCTCTGCCCCAGCAAAGGACAACCCTGAGATGAAGAGGATGACGCCGGTCCCAGTGCCGTGTTGGTCCGTCACTTCCTGGCGTTGGCGTAGTTGGCGCTGAACCAGGTGCAGGTCTCCTTCACGGCTGGGGAGGGAGAAGATGATGGATGGGTTTTGGGATTGGGAAGGCAGCTTCTTCAAAGAATCATACAATAGTTTGGGTTGGAAGGGACCTCTAAAGGCCATTGAGTCCAACCCCCTGCCACTGGCAGGGACATCTTCAACTAGACCAGGTTGCTCAGAGCCCCGTCCAACCTGACCTGGAATGTTTCCAGGGATGGGGCAGCTACCACCTCTCTGGGCAACCTGGACCAGTGTCTCACCATGCTCGTAGTCAAGAATTTCTTCCCAATATCTCATCTAAATCTCTCCTCTTCCAGTTTAAAACTGTTCCCTCACGTCCTACCCCTACAGCTCCTGCTAAAAAGTCTGTCCTCATCTTTCTTATAAACCCCCTTTAGGTCCTCAAAGCCTGGACCACCCTGATGCCACCAAGGCTAACAGCAGTTGGTAGGACCTCCGTGTTTCATGGAGCTCCCACCATCTCACCTTGCCTGAAAGGTGTGAACTGGAAGCCGGGCAGGTAGCGCTGTAGCTTGGCGTTGCTGGCTGTCTTCTTGAACTGCCCGTCCGCTTTGGTGGTGTCAAACTGGGGTGGGAGAGATTAAGGGAAACCGAAGGGGGAAAATGGGTTTTGCTCTGTCCCACTCCTGTCCTGGTTGGGGCAGCGGGAGGGATGCTCTGGACCATGGCATCTACCCTGGAGCCCTACGGCTGCTGGGGGGAAGGGGGGTTGTCCATCCCCCGCCACTATGCTGCAGCAGCCCTTTGAGCAAGGAGGGGCCAGCCTGGGGTGAAGGATACAACAAGCTCTCCCGTGAAGTCCATGGCCTCCACAATCGCCTCTGCTGCCTCCCTGATGGAGACTTCATCTTCTTCTCCCACTGTGGAGAAGGGCACGATCATCATGATCACGATGGTTCCCCCATCCCCTTGAAAAGGGGCTGGGGTGGGGTCAGCAGGGGCTTACCTGACAAAATGATGGGTTCCACCTCATCGTATTCCCGCAGGACCCAAAGGAAGAGCCGGGCCAGGTCCTGTGGAGGAGCAGATGGCTCTTGCGGGGTGGCTGCTGTCCCCCAGCCTTCCCATTGCAAGGGGACCCAACCCTGAAGATGGCCAGTGCTGCCCAGGACAACCCCGGTGGGCTCAGACCCTGCTGAGGTCCAGACACCGGCCTCCCCAGCCCCGTACCCTGCCCTCCCCGAGCCGTGGGAGATGAGTGCTCCCCAAGGCCACGCGTACCAGGGAGTAGATGAACTGTCTCCTGGGCTTGCCCGTGCCCCAGACGGTCAGAGCAGAGCCAGTCTCTGCAGGAGGAAGGAGAGAGCGTCCATGAGCTTCAAAGCCACCTCCACCCACCCCAGCTATACTGCAGAACAGCTCATGGAGCAGGCAGGTGGGAGAAAAACCAACCCAACACTTCCTAAAAAAGCCCCAAGAAGCCCTGCCGTGCTCACGTTTGGCCAGGTAGACCTTGTGGATAAGCCCTGGCAGGACGTGGCCATCCTCGATGTTGAAGTTGTCGTGTGGCCCGAAGACGTTGGTGGGGATGACGGCAGTGAAGCGGCAACCGTGCTGCTCGAAGTAGCCCCTGGGTGAGAGCAGGTGGGTTGTCAACCAGCCACAGTCACCCACCCCTCCAGTGCAGAGCTGTCCCCAAAAGACCCCAGCCAGCAGCATCTCCATCTGCTGAGCCCAGGTATCTCCACAGCTCAATTCCTGGGAGCCCCTAAGGGCTCTCCTGTGTCCCCTTCGCACCTATTCTGGATGTCAATCATCCTCTTGGCGTAGGAATAGCCGAAGTTGGAGCTATGGGGTGGCCCGTTGTGAATCTGGGGACAAGAGAGCAGGGTTAAGCAGGGCACGGACCTCCCCCAGGCTGTGTATGGGGCTGGAGATGCTCACCATGCTCTCATCAATGGGGTATGTCGTCTTGTCTGGGAAGATGCAGGTGGAGAGGCAGGAGACCACCTTCTGCACCCCCGTCTCATATGCTGAGTGCAGGACATTGTCATTGATATGGATGTTTCTCCTCTGGGGATGGAGAGATTTGTCAGATCTATGGGGTGGGAACCCTCCAAAACCCTGCTCCCTATGGGTAATGGCTCCAGAAACCAGAGGAGCTCTGGTTTGGCCCTGGGAGCAGAGTGAGCCGTGTCACATCTTAGGGAGGACAGAGGGTTACAGCATCCACAGGGACCCTGATACCACCCATTCCCCAGGCGCTCACCCAAAAATCCAGGTTGTAGCGGATGTTTTTGAAGAGGCCCCCAACCATGGCCGCCAGGTGGATGACGTGGGTGGGCTTGTGCTGCTCGAACAGGGCTTTGGTCGCCGCAGCATTCCTGGGATGGGAAATTTTGGGGTTTAGCGGCATTGCACCCTCAGCAAGTTTGCCGATGATAGCAAGCTGCGTAGTAAGGTAGACACGCTGGCCGGGAGGGATTCCATCCAGAGGGACCCGGACAGGCTGGAGAGGTGGGCCCACACCCATGAAGTTCAACAAGGCCAAGTCCAAGGTCCTACATCTGGGTCGGGGCATTCCCAAGCACAAATCCAGGCTTGGCGGAGAGCAGCCCTGAGGAGAAGGACCTGGGGGTGCTGATTGACCAGAAGCTCAACCTGAGCCAACAATGTGCGAGCACAGCCCAGAAGGCCAACCGTATCCTGGGTTGCATCAGAAGAAGTGTGGCCAGCAGGTCAAGAG